TTAAAAGATTAGGAATAGGACTGGGGTCCAAAAGGCAGGGATGTTTGCCCCAGGCCCTGTCTACCGCTATCTTAGGAACATGCAGGGTAAGGCAGAGAGCTACAAATTTAAGATTATAGAGAGTAGGAGAGCTCCTCCCAGGAGGAAAAAATACTGAGAATAAATTCTAGATCCCCAGGCCAAAAAAGGCAATAGGGGTATTATATTAGCCCTAACTCTTATTTACCTGGCTCTTTAAATGTCTTTGTATATGTCCAGAAGGAGCTGAAGGAAGAAGGATGTTTTCTGTTAGAGAAGAGAAACTGAAGGCTGCTTCTACAGGACCAGCACTAGGGGGCACCGGAGCAAAGTATACTGAGCATGACCTGTGTGACTGCCAAAGAGCTTCAACTCTGGAAATTAGGGGAACAGAGGAAATACCCATTGGTAAAACCCAATGAACTTCCAATTCAAATAAAGATCTAATCCTGTTCTTGATACAGTCTTCTCACATACTTTATTTTATAAAAGTGTTCACTGTTGTGTTAAATTATAACTTGAATTTAAACTTCAAATATAACTACCATTGATAATTTTCTAAATGGCAGTGCTCAAGACCATAGAGAAGAAAAAGAAATTTTAGAAAGTACTCTCTGAAAAGCAATTTTGCAGTATAAATCAAGCCTTAAAACTATGTACCATCTTTGACCCAGCAGTTCCATTTTTAAGAATATAATACAGGATGAAACAATGTAAAACATAGAACAAGCTTTTGCACCAGAATGCCCATTATGGCATTAATTTTATTTGTTAACATGCTTACACCACCTAAATATCCAAGAGATAAGAGTGGTAAAATAAACTATGGTAGAGCTATACAATAGGCTATCATGCATACATAAAAATATTATCTATAAACAATAACTAAAACAAATGTGGACTGAAGAGGAGACACTAAATTTTATACACTGTAAACACATTATGATTTCAATAAGACTAAAATATGTTAGAAAAAGTATTAAAAGAAAATGCACCAAAATATTAACAGTGGTTATCCACAGGTGGTAAGATTCAGAAATGTTATTTATATATTTTTTTTACAATGAACAAGTACTCAAATAAGGAAGCCCAAATTTATAAAAACCATTCTGCTTTATATTATACACCAAAAACTAATAAACATAATTTATTAATCAAAAACATAAATGACCCCTTCAGAGATTTAAATGAATTTCTTCTGGCTAGCTCGCTCACTAGCAAAATGGTTCATTTCATATTAACATAATAATTGACAACAAAAACCAAAAATAATTCATGTAAGAACACTTTCAAGTTGTCTCTAAATGATCATTACACATGTTAAAAAATATATAGACCACAAGGGGCCATTTTATTAGATTTAATTTGTAGAAAACAAATTAAAAGGAAAAATAAGAGTGCATTACCAAATGTCCTCTGTATACTATAACTGTATCCTACTGGGCATTACAAACTGAGGCATTTAAAGTCACAGTCACTTCTCATTTAAATGTATCCTGTTCAGGGATACAGAATGATGACACTGGCTATATAACATAACTTCAGTATCCAACTGAATAATATACATGTTAGCTTGTGTTCAGCAAGGAGTCAATCAATGTGCCCTTAAAAATTTGTTTAACAACAACGGCACCAACAACACTTTCTAGAACTAGTTGTATTAAAATCTTAATAACGGAAGAATTTAAAAAGTGCTAACAGAAGAACTACTAGATTAAGATTCAAAAGACTTGTGCTTTAAGTTTCAGATCTTAGTCAAGTCCCAATGTTTCTAAGTATCAGGATTCTTAGCAGTAATGTACAAAATCACTTGAAGTAAAACATTAACAAAAGTAATAATAACAGCAATGTCCCCTTCTAGGCCTTATCTACAACAGGTTCTATTAAATCACTTCCAAACTTCCTTATAGCTTTAATATCACATTTAAACAACAGAATAATGTTGCTACAGCAAATAAGATACAGGGCACATTAGGCATTTTTCTAGTATTCATTCAAGTTTAACAACTCTGTGAGTTATACATGATAAATCAAACTGTAAGATTAGGATGGAGAATCAAGATGTTTTTATACTAGATTTTGAAAGTTGTTGTGATAAAATTATCACTGTTAGATATCATCATCAATAAAAACAATCCCTCAAACAGTATCAAAAGGTTTAAAGCAAAAAGTAAATTTCTCTCCTTATGCCTGTTCAAAAAGAATTTCTATTCCCGAGAGTTAACTACTATTGAGATTCTTATGTATCTACCCAGACATCTAAGTTATTAACCTTAGTGGAATGAAGAATTTTAGAGCTAGAAAAAATTGGCCCAATATAACTTTCAGTTTTATAAATAAGTAACCTGAAACACGTAAGTGATTATTTTAGTTGTTATTAATATCTGGAAAGCAATTCACAATAGATAAAATGCTATGAGATAAATTATTTGTTTTAAAATTATCCAAGTGACTTGCCTCAAGGTTATTTATACAACAAGTTAATGATGTGGCTGGAACTGCATTTAGGAAGCTGATATCAAGTGGGATAGTAATAATAAAGAATAAAGATTAAATGCATACAAACCTTGCACATTTAAATTTTTAAAGATCCTAAATTTTCAAAGATACCTACATCATTGCCAAAGATTATAAAGTCTGGCAATTCATGAACTAGTTATTATTATGTATAAAAATCATTACAAATGTTTTAAAAGGAGAAATCTTAGCAATGAGAGATTAATATTTAAAGTTTGCTTGTGTTTTGAAGAGTCACACTTTTCAAGATTATCACTTAGAGAACTATTTTTAAATTACAGATACAATCAACACACAATGATTACTGAATATACTTTGGTTAAAAAAATACCAACTTCAAAATGAGAAGAAATAATGTGAGAGACACTTAAAGGAGAATTTCACATATGATATAAATGCACACAAAACAAGAAACAGAAACCAAGTGAATATAAAGCACCTAAAAGATGCTGCAGCATTATTTCTGGTATAAAGAAAACCCATGTTGATCACAACAGGTGCATTGCCACTGTGGCAATGACAACTATGAAATCTGTATTATGACTTATGACAAAAAATGAAGGCATCTTTTATTAGAAAAATATGTGAGAAAATAAAACAGAAAGGTAAGGAATCTCAAAATAATTTTACTGTAACAGGATTACAAAAACAGAAAACATTCAAAGAAGTGGGATCAAGAATACAGTCTCACTCCAATTATGGAATATAGTTATAAAAGAACAAAACTGAAACTAAACTTAAAAGAGGAGTTAACCACCATTAATTATGCTAATTTTTTGGCAAGTATATATTCAAAATGTACTTAAATGCAAGTATCAATATCCAGGCAAATTATAACAGCTCAGATAACCTAAATAATTTTAGTGGTAAAAACTGAATACCAAAATCAGATGGAAAAATAAAAATAAAAGTTGAGTGATTATGTGTAATATACATACTCTTGCTATCAAATTTTAACTTACATATATTCAATCTCCTTTAATTTTACCATACTAAAGAATAACTCAAAAATATGAAAATGTAATGCACCTTTAAATAACTTTTGTTACTAACAGAAGGTTAACTCTGATTTTTGCTTTTTAAGACTAACATTGTCAATACAATAGAAAAATGAGGCTAACCAATATATTACTGTTGTTCTAACAGAAAATAAATAAAAACCCCAAATACTTTCTAAAGGCAGAAAAATCCTCATATTATTAACAGGAAAGAAAAGAATGCTCCCTGTCAAGCTGTTGGTTCTATGATGAATTATTAACCTTCTTTCCTGGTTGAATAGCACCTGTTTTATTAAGATGAGTATACGTAAACATAATACTTTATTTGGTTCCTTATCAAGTGTTTGCTCTTTACTCATGTTCAAGCCTTTCTCATTTCATGAGACAACTGAAATATATTTATATTTGTATCAGATAATTCTAATGTATAAATAGTATTTTTTTGGTCTGATTCTCATCATGGTTGTTCATTTTTTCTCGTTTTCTTTTTAGTTGAGTAATCTTTACCACGAGCTCATTTTTCTTAAAAAATTTTATTTGCCTCTTAGAAGCAAATTCCTTCAGAAAAGATTTACATTTGATTCTGTTAAGTGCTTGGAGATATCACTACCACAAATATTTTAATCAAGATCTTAATTTGCTTTTAAAAATTTTTTTAATGGAGCACTGAAGTAGTATGACCTATGTGAAAACTCATTCATGGCTATAAACTTTCAAGAAAGACCTGTATCTTTCCATTTAATTAATGACAGATTTTAAGACAGGCTATTTTCCTTATCTTTCCCCATGAATGAAGTTGGAGTGGGCTTATTTCTAATTTACCCTTGTGCTAGAAGTAGTTCTTTAGTATCTCAACTTTATCAGGGAGATGTACTACCCATTAGTTATTCCACCTTGGAAGGGCCTTGGGATTTGTCTAGATTAGACAATATCCTCAAAGGTTAAGTAGGCTTTAGGCTCTGATTTGAGTCTCTTAGATCCTACTTTCATTTAATCTGATTTGTATTTCCCTTTTTATTTCAAATGGTCATGGATACATTAAAATTTAAAAAAAATTATCTTACAGTTTGTTTTTAACAAGAATGTTGTTTAGTTTGGGCCCCAAAGTGTTATAATTCCATAACTAAGAGCTTTACACAGTATTACCTTCAATACTATTCTCTTTTAAATAGCAAGTCATTTATCAGAGCTCTTGTGGTTTCTACTACAGTTATTTCTCTTAAGACTTTTAACTTGGTATATCTGTACAATTTTGCATCTGCTGCTTGAAGAACTGGTTATCTTCCAAAGAGGTAAAATATACTTACTCATAGAATAAAGCAAGAACTGATAACAATAATTATTATATATTTTATTAAAATTATAATTTATTATAATAACTGGTAACATTAAATTATTAAATAATGGTTTAAACAAGGTTATTTTGTTTTAGTAATAACCCTTCTGCCTTCAGAAACTCTTACTTACTTTGGAAGGAGAACCATCAGTAATTTTCACCAACTGCCAAAGAATCGAGTAATGGGAACACTGCAGTGCCTGTACGACTATCTGTATCAAATAAAAAAATTCAAACAAATGAGACATAGTTTATGTTTATACAGTATTAAGAGAACAATGTTTATCATAGTTTTTATAATAAGGTTTCAAGTCCAAATTTTTGTAGAATTAATGAGAATGTGTAAAATAATATTTGGTTAAAAAAAAAAAAGACAAACCAACATATCAATCTAGAGAATAAAGATACAACATCTTGATAAATATGGACCCAAATAACACTACGCTTTAAACAAAAATCTACTGATATGAATAGTTTGCGTAGTCAGATTTTTAAAGGAAGACTGAAGAAATCATTTCTATCCAAATTTTAAAATGGTTACTTTTGTTTTAAAGCATTTTAACTATGAAATAGAACACTTATACAGAAATGTACAGAAAACATTTAATAAATTAATATAAAGAAAATTACCGATGTAAACACCACCTGGATCAAGAAATACAACATTGCCAGCACCTTCTCCCAATATAATGTCTTTTCTCCCCTTGAAGGGTAATAGTCATTTTGATTTATCAGGCAGTCGGTATATTTTAACTCCTTAAATCTCATTCTCTAAATACTGATTTTATTATTACTAGTTGTGAACATTATATAAATGTAATTATGTAATATGTATTACTTTGTATCTGATTTCCTTGATTTTAACATTTATAGTTAGGATTTATACATACTGCTGCATACAGCTACAGTTCATTAATTCTTGGTCTTGTACTATATTTAGAATATCCTCCTATTTATTCATTCATTTTATTGTTGTTGAGCTCTTACAGTGCCTATAGTTTTGGGCCATCATGAATAACGATCCTATGAATACTTATATATGTCTCCTGGTACTCACATATGCATTTGTCTAGCTAAGAGGTTCTTGGAAGTTTTAATTCTCAGGACCTTTCTACACTCAAATATTACTAAAATATTCCTTTAAAAAAAACAATCCTAAATTGTTTTTATGTAGGTTATATAACATTTATATTAGAAATTAAAAATGTTTCAAATATATATTAGTTCATTTAAAAATTATAATAATAGAGACGCCTGGGTGGCTCAGGTGCTTGTGTCGGACCCTTGATACTGGCTCAGGTCATTTTCTCATGGTCTGTGAGTTCAGGCTCCATGTTGGGCTCTGCACTGATAGCATGGAGCCTATTTGGGATTCTGTCTCTTCTCTTTGCCCTTCCCCTACTTGTGTGCTCTGTCTCTCTCGCTCTCAAAATAAATAAACTTTAAAAAATTAAAATGATCTAATTATATCATAATAAAGAATACATATTTCTGAAAGAGCACTAAATTTTCTAAAATGAAAATCATTTAGTGGGAAGAATGGCACTGTTTCACTTTTTTGCAAATCTAACGTCCAGCTTAATAAAAAACAGGGTTTCAAATCTGCTTCTGCATTTTATTAAAATATGCTATTTTGATTGAAGCATGTGAGGAAATTCCAATATCACAGATTGCTGGAAAAAGATTTTTATTTTAGCAGTCTTTGTAAATAAATGTGGATATTCTTTGATATGACACCAATACTTCAATGTACATTTGTGAGATAATAATGAGAATAAAAGCAAGTAACATCTTCCTCTTATTATAAAAACAATTTGACCTCAAAGACCTGCTCTGGAAACCACCAAGGCTCTCCAAACTATACTTTGAGGGCCACTGTTCTACAAATAGGATTGCTGGATTATATAGTATGTGTATTTTTTTTTTTATTAAAAAAATTTTAATGTCTATTTATTCTTGAGAGACAAAGAGACAGAGAGCATGAGCAGAGGAGGAGCAGACAGAGAGAGGGAGATACAGAATCCAAAGCAGGCTCCAGGCTCTAAGCTGTCAGCACAGAGCCCGATGTGGGGCTCGAACCCATGAACTGTGAGATCATGACCTGAGCCACAGTGCTTAGCCAACTGAGCCACCCAGGCACCCCCTATAGTATGTGTATGTTTTTTCTTTTTTTTTTAAATTTTTTAAAAATGTTTTATTTATTTCTGAGAGAGAGAGAGCGTGAGCAGGGGAGGATCAGAGAGAGAGGTAGACACAGAATCTGAAGCAGGCTCCAGGCTCTGAGCTGGCTGTCAGCACAGAGCCCGATGCAGGGCTCGAATCCACGAACCTTGAGATCATGACCCGAGCCGAAGTCCAACGCTTAATCGACTGGGCCACCCAGGCGCCCCAGTATGTGTATGTTTAACTTTATGGTTGACAGTACCAAGAGTACTATCTTAATGCAGTATTAACTTGCATTTCTCTAATTATTAATGGAGATGGGCACATTTTCATTTTCTACTGGCACTGAAATCTTGTTCTGTGAAATATCTGTCCTTATTTCCAGAGACAAATAACAGAATTCAGGAAAATCAAACTGGTTAAGAATCATAACTATAGAAGAATTTCACTTTGGATAGGGCTTCTACTACATTTTTGTTTGAATACATGACATATCTTTATTGCAATAAAGCATATCTAATAAAATATTCCATTATTATAGTATCTCTATTGTCTTCCCCAGTTGATATAAATTAAAAATTATAAGAACATATATTATATATATTACATATATATATAATAAATCAAAACAGAAGTCAGTGAGTGGCATGTGAAGGAAGTGATTAAAATTTTAGGTGGTTTGAACTTCAAAAATTTTAGGTTCCAGATCACATAAGCAAAAGATATCTACAATATACCTACTCAGCACTGAAAATAATTCATCAGAATTAAAGGGATAAGTAGTGCTGCTTTTGATGCAACACTAGTGAGGTGATGTCAGGATTTTATCAAACACAGTAATAATTAAATGACTGACGTCAGAAATAAGACTACTGAAACACTGTCAAGTTATGAACATTAATGCTAAAGAAATCACCTTACTGTACTTAGGAAATGCTCAGTATGGGTACATGTTCTGGTCCTGACACATAATGTGATAACCTCTAGTTCTGAATATAAGGTACACTAGTAATATGGTTTATGTGGAAGGAAAAGAGAATATTTAAAAAAATTCTAATTTGAAACAACCTGAATTGTTAAGCTACTAGAAAAGTAATATACAAATAACATTATCAGTAGGAAATTAAGATACAGAAAAAAGTAATGTTGAAAAACAGCTTAATTTTATTTACCATTTCTTCTAATCATCACAAATATAATTTCCTTTCCTTCTACATTTCTATTGACCTATATACTAGGAAGTTATTCAAACTGTTCCAAAGTTTTGCAGAAGCATCTTAGAAATGGTTATGAGGGAAGCAGACACTTGGCCACTCCAATACCTATTTCAAGGAGAACGTACTCATTCTATTCTGTTCATATATTGGTATTCATCATGAGTTTATTTTAAAAAGGCTCTACTGCATTATTTTAAAATAAAAAGCTCACTTTCATTGACTAGAAAGTATTCTGCCTTCTCACAGGTATAATTATATAACAATATAGTTGATCCCATTTCAAAAGAAAATTTAGAATGCTTTCTTCCTAGCTTTACACTATTATCCTCCATACTAATGATGTTATACCAACTTGTCCAGATATTATTTCAGCAACTTCATCCTTCTGTAGTAGACACAGATGAAACAAGAAGGACAAACAATAAAAATGGAAAAAGCCAAGAGATTGTTTTGACTGGTGAGGACCACAGGCCTTCTCTCTTTCCTTGATTTCCTGGAGAGGGTCTTCCAATAATATAGCAAGTATAGGGATGATGACAAAGAATTTTTTCCAACTCTACTCCTCTGTCCTCCTGTTTCTGTGCTCCCACTGTTCATGGGAGGACACAGTAATGTATACTGCACATTTCTGGGCAAAAGTAGTTAAAGAAGCAGGAATGCCTATTCTATCTTCTACTCTCCTATCTGCCAGCAGGATACCAATGAATGACCCAGGAGACCTTGGGTCCTTGAATGACTAGATGGTACAGTGACACCTCACTTCCCTTAACTGCACTTTGTAAGGGTGAGAAATAAATTTCTGTTGTGTCAAGCCACTGAGATGTTGAGATTAATCTATTATAGCAGTTAGCATTATCTTAATCAACATAAAATTATTTATTAGACCTTTTCCTTAATAATTACTTTTACCTATTTAAAGGAACCACAGCTCTTCATCTTTGATTAACAGACTGAATTAATGATAATCAATCAACCTCTGGCTAACGATATCACATATCTTAAAGACATAGTGTAATATTATATATAAATAAAGACTAAAGGTGGGGTGCCTGGCTGGCTCAGTCAGTTAAGTGTCCTACTCTTGGTTTTTGCTCAGGTCATGATCTCGTACTCTGTGGGTTTGAGCTCCATGTCAGACTCTGCTGACAGTGCAGAGCCTGCTTAAGATTCCCTCTTTCCCTCTCTCTCTGCCTTTCCTCTGCTTGCTAGCTCTCTCTCAAAATAAATGTTTTTAAGAAAAGAAAAAAAAAAGACTAATGGATACGCTCCTAGAATGGTTAGGTTTAGAAAAACTGAATTTTTATGGAAAATACAACTATAGAATAATAAGAAAAAATGATTATGTATACATAATATATACGTGTGGATATATATTAAGTACATATATAGGACATGTTTAAGATACTAAAAATTCACACACTGACTGTGGGATAAATTGGGGCTCTTTCACTCTTCTGTTTGCAGGAGACTTAAGGGGATGGAGAATCAAATTTTTTAGTGGATCCATGCATGACAAAAGAGTAAAGTGAACTTCATACTAGTCTGCCTCTCATATCCAATACTTGTTTTTCTATCATACTCAGAGTAGGTTAATGTGAGTGACAATTAACATCCCTTCGAAAAAAGTCTTTAGATGCAAATTAATAATCAACATGGCTTTACCAAGAAGAATGTAAGACTGGCAAATAAGCACACGAATAAGATGCTTAACATCATTAGCATTAAGGAAATGTATATTAATTAAAAGCACAATGAGACACCACTACACACCTATAAGAATGGCTAATGTAAATACTAATCAAGTGCTGCTAAAGATGTGGAACAAATGGTAC